TATTTTAAGAGGGTATTCCTTATGAAGAGGGTACAAAAGGTTTAAACCCATCTTCAATTAGGTTGTGCCAAAGGAATAAGTTTTTTAAAAGGAGGAAAGAAAACCCTTATGGGCCCTTAAAGAAAAAGGGGAATTAAATGAAATTTCCGGATGATTAAAGATTTGAGCGGTGAAAGAGTTTGAAGAACGTTCTCCAGAAAATTACCATTGATGATCAAATTTTACATTTATTCAATAGTGCAGAACCCAATGGATATTGCTGATTTGGCAGAATTTTCATGGAAAAAAGCAAAAATTATCGTTTCAAGTAGACCGTTAAAAAGATTAAATGATTTCTCTTCAAAAGAATTTCTAACTGAAGCTGAAAAGGAAAAACAAGCTTCAAAACAATCAAAAAGAAAGTATCGTGGTAATAATCACAAAAATGAAAGTGAAAGATTATTAGATAAAATAGCTCAATCAATCAAAGGTTATAATGCTATCGAATCCTTAATTAAAAAATGTTCCTCATATGGTTCCTCATTATCAGTCCAAATGAAAAAATGGGGTCTGGATTTACAAAATGTCGATAGTAATGGTGAATTAGACATGATGGCCTTAGATACAGATGACCAAAATAAAGCTGTTGTGGATGAATTCGATAATGGTAGTGAAACAGTAACTCCTGAGGTCACTCCGAGCGCTACATTATTACAAAAGATGAAATCCAAGAAATCTGAAGGTGAAGGTGAAGGTGAAGGTGAAGCTAAAAGTGACATCGAATTTGATGAAGATGAAATTCCTGAATCTGAAGAAGATGATGAAGATTATGATGAGATGGTAAGCACCAGAAAGAGATCTACCAGAAGTGGTGTCAGCATTCAAAAGAACCGTGTCGTCAAATATTTTAGAGGCAAACCAAGATTATTATCATCTGATATTAGTTTAAAGGATTACCAACAGATGGGTATCAATTGGTTAAATCTATTATATCAGAATCATATGTCCTGTATTTTAGCAGATGATATGGGTTTAGGTAAGACCTGTCAAGTCATTTCATTTTTAGCTTATTTAAAGCAAATCGAACAACCAGGACCTCACTTAATTGTAGTTCCATCATCTACTTTAGAAAATTGGTTGAGGGAGTTTCAAAAATTCTGTCCTAATTTAAAAATTGAACCTTATTATGGTTCTCAACAAGAAAGAGCCGATTTAAGAGATATTTTGGAAGAGAACGATGGACAGTATGATGTCATTGTTACTACCTATAATTTAGCAGCAGGTAATAAGCATGATGTTTCATTTCTAAGAAACCGTAATTTTAATGTAATTGTATATGATGAAGGCCACATGTTGAAAAATTCAATGTCAGAAAGGTTTTCAAAATTGATGAGGATTGATGCTAACTTTAGACTGCTTTTGACTGGTACACCATTACAAAATAACTTGAGAGAACTTATGTCTCTATTAGAGTTCATTATGCCTTCCTTATTTGAATCTAAAAAGGATTCTTTGGCTACTATCTTTAAGCAAAGGGCCAAAACTAGTGATTCTGGTAAAGATCATAACCCGTTGTTAGCCCAAGAAGCCATTAATAGAGCTAAAACTATGATGAAACCATTTATCCTGAGAAGACGTAAAGATCAAGTATTAAAGCATTTACCAGCAAAGCATAAACACATTGCATATTGTACTTTGAATGAAGATCAAAGAGAGATCTACAACAAGGAAGTAAAAATTGTAATGGACCATAAGAAAATGATAAAGGAGGGCTTACTTCCAGAGGATCCTAAAGAGAGAAGTAAAATACAAACTTCAAGCTCTAAAAATTTGATTATGTCACTACGGAAAGCCTCCATCCATCCATTATTGTTCAGACACATATTCAATGATGAAATTATAGACAAAATGAGTGATGCTATCTTAGACGAACCTCAATATGCAGAAAATGGTAACAAGGAATATATCAGAGAAGATATGAGTTATATGTCTGATTTTGAATTACATACTTTATGTTGTAACTTCCCAAAAACATTATCGAAATATAAACTAGATGAGAAAGCATGGGCTAATTCTGGTAAAGTTGAAAAGCTATGTGAATTACTAAAAGATATAATTTCAGTTAAAAAGGAGAAAGTTTTGGTTTTTTCATTGTTCACCCAAGTTTTGGATATTTTAGAAAAAGTATTATCGAGTTTAAATTATAAATTTTTAAGACTAGACGGTTCAACTCAAGTTAACGATCGTCAATCTCTAATTGATAAATTTTATGAAGATGACACAATTCCTATTTTTATTTTATCAACAAAAGCTGGTGGGTTTGGGATTAATTTAGTTTGTGCCAATAATGTAATTATCTTTGATCAAAGTTTCAATCCACATGATGACAGGCAAGCTGCTGATAGAGCTCATCGTGTTGGCCAAACAAAGGAAGTCAATATAACCACATTAATTACTAAGGACTCTATTGAGGAGAAAATTCTGCAATTGGCCAAAAACAAGCTTGATTTGGATACCCACGTCAGTGAAGATGATAAAAAAGGTCAAGATGCATTAGAAAGTAAAGTTAGCAATATCTTAGAGGATATTATTTTCGATGAAAACATCGAAAAAAAATCAGAATAATCACCATAAAAAAACGATTCTACCAATTATAGTCTTTTCCAAGTTCCTTTAACTCCCCCCACCTCATTCCACCCTTAAATATCTGATTGTGTAACTGCGTTTTTTTCATATCATTTCATTTATCATATATTTTGTAATAGTTTTATATAATAATAAAATAAGTCATATCCATAGAATGGTATTGAAATATATTTAAACATTGCAAAAGATGCCTTATCATATACCCCCATTAGTCTACAAATGGCTTCGTTGTATGGCTTGGATATATCACCTCCTGTTGATGATAGTTTTGTATGGCTTGGATATATCACCTCCTGTTGATGATAGTTTTGTATGGCGCATTATTTTTTGTTAATATCAAATTTAATCATCGCAGCATACATCATCATCTTGATTCTGATGAAAAATTAGTAATAAAATATAAAATGGCAAAAGGGTAAACTAATAGATAAATGAGTATTTTCTGGTGTTTTGAAGGTTAAGAGTCGGCAATTGAGTTCAATTGAGTCAAATAAGTCAATTGTTAAGGTTAACTAAGTTTTTGCTGTTATGTTTTCTGAAAGTTTTCGTTATCCTAGCCTTCCAGATGAATATTTAAAGGAATATTTGCTTCCTGAAATTTATCAATGGTCGTTATCCAACGGGTTAATCATGTATCCTCCTGATTTCAAACCAGAGAGTACTTCTATTGCACCAACTACTGTATTTCCTACAACATTACCAAAGGAGAGTTTTAATAAGGCGATTGATGTTCAAAAGGATTATAATGAATTATATGCCAAAATTTCTCAAGACCAGCTAGGATGGCTAACATCTGAAGCTGCTGAATTAGCTAAATCTGATCCTGACTTTACTGGGAAACTATGGGATACTTATTTGAAGGCTTCTAAAATTGGTATTAAACAAAAGCTAAGATTAGGTCTATTCAGATCTGATTATTTAATTGATAAATCTGCTAACGAGATAAAGCAAGTGGAATTTAATACAGTTTCTGTTTCATTTGGTGGGTTGTCTACTAAAGTTGGTGAATTACATCAATTTTTGAATCAATCTGGTAAATATGATGTTGCCAAGGGCCTAGAATATTATAAATATGTCCCAGTTTCTGATTCAGATGTTAAATTGGCAGAGGGTTTAGCTAAGGCCGTGGACCGTTATGACTCAATTAGTGGTAATGCTTGTGTATTATTTGTAGTTCAGAACGGTGAAAGAAATGTATTTGACCAAAGAATACTAGAATATAATTTGCTGAAATTACATGGCATTAAATCTAAAAGGATGACATTTGATGAAATTCCTGAATTGACTAAATTAGGTGAAGATAATAGATTGTTAATAAAAGCTACAAATGAAGAAGTCGCAGTAGTGTATTTTAGGTCTGGATACGCTCCAACCGATTTCAAAACCGATAAAGATTGGGATACAAGATTATATTTGGAAACATCATATGCTATCAAAGCACCAGATTTGTTAACTCAACTCTCTGGAGCTAAAAAGATTCAACAATTGCTAACAGAAGAAATATATTTGCGTAAGTTTGTAAAGGAAGACGATATTGTAAAGAAGCTTACTTCAACGTTCGTCAATATTTATCCATTAGACAATACATCACTTGGAAATGAAGGTAAACGTCTAGCATTTGAATCTCCTGAAAAGTTTGTATTGAAACCTCAAAGGGAAGGAGGTGGTAATAACATCTACAAGGAAGATATTCCTAAGTTCTTGAACTCAATTGATGAAGGTGAATGGAATGCGTATGTGTTAATGGAATTAATCAAACCAGAAGAGACTATGCATAACATTATTATCCGTGGAGATGAGTACTTTAAAGAAGCTATAATCAGTGAATTAGGAATATTTGGATATATATTATTTGATGATGACACAATTTATAATAACGAGTATGCAGGGTGGTTGTTAAGATCTAAATTCAATTCCTCTAATGAAGGTGGTGTTGCAGCAGGTTTTGGTTGTGTTGATAGTGTTGTACTTTATTAATTGATAGATGTACAAGTATTAATCTGTATATATAGAGAGACAAAGGAAACCAATTTATAACTTAAGCATTTTTAGTCGATATTTCTAACGTTTTGATCTTCTTATTCTTTTTTAATACAACGATATATGAATATGTATGAAAAGATAGTATTTATTTTAAATAGCTATACGTTGCCTAAATTGTTTGGTACTTTAAATTGTATAATTTACTCTTCATCATCCATACCCCATAGGGTGGCTCCGACAGAGTTAGTTGTTAAGGCTAGTCCTGAAATGACAGGCAATAATTCTAATACCCCAGCATAGATTCCAAAGACTGTATATTTACCTAAATGATCTAAAAAGTTATCATATCTCTGCTTGTTAGTCATGCCTCTTAAACGATATATATTTGAGACGTAAATTCTTGAAATAAATGGTGATATGGCTAAGGTATAGAGGAAAGGGCCAATGACTGGAATTGAACAAACGCCCATCAAACCTAAGAAAACGAACAAACCTGAAGTATATTTTAGGATTTTTTTAGGCAAATAGTAGAACCAGAAATAATTTGTTAGGATAGGGACATAAAACTTGATTGGTTTTGTTTTGGAGACACTTTGATAATTTTTAAAGGTTACGGTTCTTTTAACTAGGGCACTTTGTAAATGTGACATTCTCATAAACATCAAAGTTAAAGCATTTGTGTGTAAAAAAGTGTGAATAATAGCGATAGCTAGCCCAGGAGGGCCCAAAAATAGTAGCCCAGCAGTATACATTGGAGTAATTGTTGCCCAATATGCTATACTTACTAAAGAATACATTATTGAATAAGACGTAAATATAGTTAACATTGGCACCGAATATAGTTTCACATTTGCAGTGACCTCGATTACACCTTTAATGGGATATAAATGGGAAGTGCCGTCGAAGAAATCTTTAAAGTAATTAATCAGAGATCTAGGTATTCTTATCTTTAGTTGTTGGAGTTTTTTTCTATACACGTCTGTATTCATTTTATTTAATAAGACGTCACTTTCTGGTAATCTTTCGAATTGTTGATTACGATCAAACTTGTAAGCCAAAGCTCCTATTCCTGTCAGGATACAAGAACCACCAAAACTCATTGTTTCAAAGTGTTAATGTGTGAGAGAGAGGGTGCCTGTTTTGGTATATAAGTTTGACAATTGGATTCCAACGGTGTGCTGAATACGGGAGGGAGATAAGAGTTGAGAAAAGATATTTACATATATAAATATATAAATATACAAATAGATAGAATGTAAGACCCGCCAAAGTGTAATTGAAATTGGTATGAATAAATACCAGTATATATATATATATATAGTTCTAGTAGGTAAGAGTTGATTGAAAATTGCATTGTATTGGGTGTTGGCAAAACAGTTGAATAAGTTGAGAATAGTACAAACACAGTATATTTTGTGTCATTATTAAAAAAACCCAGTATATAAGCAGTAATAAAGATATGGAATTGGGAGTGTTGGCATTGTGTCTATGATGCCAAGGATGAGTGTTACTGGAGGGGTAGTGTCTGGATGTTACGATGGGTTGATCTGGGTGTCAGAGGTTAGAGAGAGTGTTGGTTAAGCAGTGACAGCCAGTTCAACGATAAGAAAAAAACCAAGTGGTCATGTGACTTGAAGAATAGTGACGGAGTACGATTTAAAACCAAGTGTTGTTCGTTCATAACTAGACATACGCATGTCTCTGTATTTAATGTGGTAAAATAATAGACAACACTGAAAGTGATAGCAATTGTCTATACAAGAGTAATGAATATCTAGTGTATATATGTTTATGTATGTGTGTATGTGTGTGTGTCGGATACCTCACTTTAAAAATGCTAGATACCTGGGACTAATCTGTGTGTAATGAATAAGTCATCACTGTATACGTTGACTGCAACACTTCGACATCTCATCGTTTAAGTTAAATATCCAATGAATTTTGGGCAGCTCCCCAGCAGCCCCTCCCCCATAGATTCATTTATAGACCGTGCGATTGATTGCCCTACGATGCATCTTTCCATAAAGGATTGTCTCTGGGTGTGTATCTTTGCTTTGTTGCTTAGTGGCATGGGGGTTGGGTTGCGAGAACCAGCCCATATGGTGCAAGAATAACCCAAGAAACCTCTCCGTGTCGTGTTATCTGGTACTGCGGTCCCGTCCCATTCATTGCATTTCCACTAAAGACATTGCATCAAAACAACAGTACACGTGATCAAATACTCCGAGCTTTGTATAAACTTTCACCAGAAACAAGAAACAAGAAACAAGAGAAAAAAAAATAAAATAAAATACATACACGTGACTACTGTTCCTCTGCGTCCGTTCTTTATTTCTTTTGCGATTGTAACGACTCGTCACCTTCACCTCCCTCCTCCATTTGCTAGCGTCGTATGTTCCTACCTAAAAATATCAATTTTCACTTTTTCTTTTAACTTTCAATTTCCTTTTTTTTTTTCTTTCTCTTTCTCTCTCTCGTGGAAACATCACCATCCACAACTCCCTCTTCTGACCCATACCTACCAAATGCTAATAATAATGCTAATTCTAATATCTTGTACTTTTCCATTGTACAACAAACCAATTTTCCTTATCCTTTATCCTTTAACCTTTAACCTTTAACCTTTAACCTACCTACCCCCCCTTCCCTCCTTCCCTTCCCTCCATCATAACTTCTTCTCATTGCATCACATCTCTTCCTCTGCTCACTCACTCACTAACTCACGCTTCCCTTCCAACTTCGACAAAGAACACAACAAACAACAAACAATTGAAAAAAAAATTAGTTCGAACCTATTATCTGATTAAATCAAATCAAATCAAATCATATCTAATCTAATCTAATCTAATCCTTTGTTGTATACTGTTTCACTTCAATATCTATCCCAACACACACCTCAAAGATACACCTTCAAAGTATATTGCAAAGTTCACTCCTGCTAACAATTCGTTACACGTTTCTTTGGTTTTTGCTTCATTTATATACTATTTCTACATATTCAACTTTGTTTGGTTTTATTGATCAACAGTATTAAAATATCTATACTTTTCAACAAAGCAACATCCTGCTTTCATATATCATAAACCTTCCTCATCAACATTATCCCCCCACCCCCCTTCCCAGATTGTATCATCATCTCTTTTATTATAGCTAGTTATTGATATTTTATTTTACAGTTCAAGTATTGGTCAATTGTCATTGTCCCCCCAGTCTTAAACAAGTATATCTGGAATATTTCATCTTTTAATTATTTACGTTGACCTTTCCCACAGTTCTATTGTTTGGTGTTTCAACGATTGAGTATTATCTGGATCGACAGTCACTGGTGGTGTTTTTTTTATTCGAAAATTTAATTTAGAGTATTGCTATACACCTATCTTTATTTTGGAAAAACCTTATTTTTGGTCCCATTGATATTATTTCCATTGTTATTCATTATTTGTTGTTGTTGTTGTTGTTGTCTTTTTTTATTTTAATAATAAAACAAAATATTACTACTACACAATTGCTTGATTTCATCGTTGAGTATATTGAATCCACATTCATAGTTCTGTCTTTGTTATCGTACACTTTTGCTATATTGAAATACCCTGATCCGCTTATCGCTTTCCATCCCATCACACCCCCCCCCCTCCCCACAGATTCATAAATAATAATATATGCCATATATTGGTTCGTCTTCTAGTTCACAGCATTCTTTCGATAATTTGAAAGAAAAGCATTCCATCACAAAACATGGTGCATCTACATCTTCTTCGAGATTGAGTATATCACATAGTAACGATACAAATAATACGAATACGACTACGAATAATAATAATAATAACAAATCCAATACGAATACAAATAATAATGTTAACACTAACAGCACCAATGATAATGATAATGATAATGACAATAAGAATATGATTACAAATGATAATTCGAAAATAAGTTGCAGCGAGTCTGACTCGCAAAGTATATCATCTTCGACCAACACAAATGAGCTTCATCAACCTCCAAGCGTGTCAATTAATAGCTCGAGGTCCCTATCCATAAGTTCCATGTCTTCTACAACAGATATAGACTCTGCGGAACTTATCTCGTTGCCAAATGAGTCGACTCATGTTTATTCTTATAACCCACTATCTCCAAACTCATTGGCCGTTAGATTGAAAATTTTGAAACGTTCCTTGGAGATCATGATAGGAAATCCAGACATGTTGAAGGATCCTTCCGATGGTTCTCTAAAACATGCAAGACATCTAAGTCAGGCTATTGCCGAAAATGCTGCATTTTCAAGAGATAGATTCGATTCACCTGGTCTCTCAGGTCAATCTTCAACAAAGTTTAATAATTTTCAACAAACTAAATGGAGTGCTCATTCTGCAGCATTGAAAGCCTTTGTCACAAACAGTGCAACATCTTCCGCAATTCATAGTCCAACCAGATCAAGCACACAGTTATCCAATATTTCAAATATTTCAAATTTACAAAGGGCTACTTCATTGGTTTTTTTACCTGATAAATTAAAAGGTATCAACAGCGGTTCTCATAGTGACTCAATAAAAACGTTTAGGCGAATTTCAGATGCTCATTCTCATAATACTTTGGTCGAAAATAAAGAAAGCTTTTATAAAAATATTTCAGCTAGCCACTCAAATGAGATTGTCAATTCGCGTATGTCAGATTTGGAAAAACTATTAGATCTATTGAATGAAACACTGGAAAATAATACTTCTGCAAAAGCCTCCGACTTGCACATGATCTCCTTATTGAACATTGATAAATTAAACATAGGTAATGAATTATCAGATTCTCAAGGCCTATCAAGAACTTTATTAGATAGTTTAGCTGAGCCATTTTTTGAACACCAAAACGTAAACGATGAAAGAAGTGTTGACGATGAAAAAGAATTACAAGAAGAAATGCATGAATTCGTAGGCCAAGATGATTTATCTTTCAATAACCTACGACCTCAACAGGATTATGGTCGTTTATTGCATACTTTTACATCAGTAAAAAATTCAGCACCACATGCTATTTTCACTTGTACACAACAATTCCCATGGCAATTCAAAGCTGCTAACGATTTGGCATGTTTAACTTTCGGTATATCCAAAAATGCATTGAGAGCTCTGACTCTGTTAGATTTAATTCATTCCGATAATAGAAATTTTGTTTTAAATAAGATTATGACCAGTGAAGGAAAAGAAATCGTATTCTCTGGTGAAATTGTTGCAATTGCACAACCAGGTAATAATAATTCTTCCAATCTAATATGGGCTTCATTCTGGGCTAAAAGGAAAAATGGTCTTTTAGTCTGTGTTTTTGAAAAGGTCCCTTGCGATTATATGGATATCAAATTGAGTCTAGAGGATTTTTCTGTTGATGATATTATAAATGAGCATGGTTTATTTAATGAAAATATCCATTCTGGTAGTACTAAGAGTATGTCAGATGAAGCGATTGATTTAGACTCTCAGTCAACTATTTCTAGTACTACTACAAAAGAAAACAAGAAGAAATCAGTGAAGTTCGCAAATGAGATACATGATATATCTACTATTAGTCGATCTTTAGCAGATGTTATTCAACAGATTGTTGATGGTAAGCTCGTAGCTAAAGATGATAGCTTATACCCAGTATCAATTAGAGTGTCTAATCATTTGAATGAAATTAGATATTTTACTTTGAATCATTTATCATACAATATACCATGTGCAGTATCTGCATCTATTCTGGAAAATGAACTGAAATTAAAAATTCACAGTTTGCCATATGAGGCTGGTTTATTTATCATTGATTCCAACAAACTACAATTGATTAGTTTTAATAAGTCAATTTCCAAAAATTTATTTGGTATTCATTTCAATGAATTAGTAGGGAAACCGATCACTGACATTATACCGTCTTTTGCAGATATTATTAAATTTATTAGCGTGAGGTATCCTGCATTAGATATAACCCACCGTAAAAATAAAGGTCTAGTTCTTACTGAACATTTCTTTAGAAAGATTCAAGCAGAAATGAATGGTGACGCCGAAGATTTTTACACTTCAGTAGGTATTGATGCTCTTCATAGAGACGGATGTTTTATTAAAATTGATTTCCAATTGAGAGTTGTTAATTCCAATATTGCATTTTTATGGATAACACATTCCAGAGATGTTGTGATAAAGGATTACACTTCAACACCATCACAACTTCATATGTTAAAAGAAACTGAAGTGGCATTTGTTAGTAGTGGTAATAGTTCAGCAACTTCTTCTAAGAGATCATCTTCTAAAATATCAGTCTCATCTCTACCAGAAATGACTCAGTTAAGTATAGATGAAAGTTTATTATCAAACAGTCATAGTCATAGTCAAACACCAATAAAGGAGACCAAAAATACTCTTGACAGCAGTAAAAGTGAAGCAAGAGATGAAATCAAAAAAATTTTGAAAATTGATAATGGTATTGATTTGAACGATAAGGAATTACAAGAAAAATTGGAATTGGCAAAAGTTTATGTCAAGGATAAATCTCAATTTGTAAAAGAAGGTAACTTCAGAGTTGATGGAAGTTTGATAATGAGTATGGCATCGTCACCAAAGAGTTCAAAATCGAACACATCATTGGTGACACTGGATGATTCTAATAAGGTATCATCATCCGAAAGTTTATCAAAGGAAAATATCGGTGATTCATCAGGTATACTTTCGTCGACTGAAGGAAAGACTACATTTTTATATACACCTGAGCAACAAATTGGTGCTCAGAAAAGAACTAAAAAAATATCGGACTTTGTTATTTTACAAAAAATGGGTGAAGGTGCATATGGTAAAGTAAATCTATGTTTGCATAAGAAGAAGAAATATATTGTTGTCATTAAAATGATTTTCAAGGAAAGGATTTTAGTAGACACTTGGGTCAGAGATAGACAGTTGGGTACCATTCTTTCTGAGATTCAAATTATGTCAACTTTAAATAAACACCCGCATGATAATATTCTAAGGTTATTAGATTTTTTTGAAGATGATGACTATTATTATATTGAAACACCTATGCATGGGGAGACAGGATGTATTGATTTATTTGACCTGATTGAATTTAAGACGAATATGAGTGAAGTTGAAACGAAATTGATATTTATGCAAGTAGTATCCAGTATTAAATTTTTACATGATCAAGGTATTGTTCATAGAGATATCAAAGATGAAAATGTTATTGTTGATTCTCAAGGTTTTATCAAATTAATTGATTTTGGATCTGCTGCATATGTTAAAAGTGGTCCATTTGATGTTTTCGTTGGTACAATCGACTATGCTGCTCCTGAAGTACTAGGAGGTGAGCCATATGTCGGTAAGCCACAGGATATATGGGCGATTGGTATTTTATTATACACGATAATATTTAAAGAGAATCCATTTTACAATATTGATGAGATTCTTGAAGCAGAACTCAAATTCAACACTTCTACCGGGGCCTGTGAGGACTGTGTCGATCTAATCAAGAGAATACTGACAAGAAATCCGACAAAGAGACCCACGATTGACGAAATCTACAATGACAAATGGTTACAATTCTAAAACATATCGGCATACTCTTCAATTCCTCTTCATGTCTCATGCATATATATATATATATATATATATGTACGTAATAATCAGTTTTGCTTCAAAATTTTATTTAATATCATACATAATACGTTTTTCATTTTAATTTAATTTAATTTAATTTTCATTTTATTTAATTGTGGTTTTGAGAATGGTTGTATACTGATAAAAGAAAACCTATTTATAACATCTTATCATTCAGTTTGATCAAAGTGTAATTGCGACGCACGGCAGAGCAAACGCATCATCCCCACATCTGCTGTAAAACCAAAACCACTCCACGAAATCCGCATATCTTTAATCTACAACATATAACTTGTTTGAGCCTATTTCAAAATGTATATCTCCTAAAAACCCACCTCCAACTCTTGGAGAACAGTCCTCTTCTACTATGGGGTCCCATTTCCAATCCAAATCTTAAAACTCTGAACCCCTGTCATTTATCAACACTTTTAATCACTTTCAACGATGCGTTACTTATTAGTTTTTCACCATTTCGAATTCTTCTTGAAATAAAGAAAAATTGGAAACAAGAAGATATCAAAATTTAAGATAAAAGAGTATCATTTTGAAGGAAACTTATGTTAATTATTTGTTTAATTTTAGGTTTCATTGGTTATTTTTGATTTGATTTGATTTGGTAGTTTATAGGTTTAAGAAATTGGTCTGTAACAGTTGCAACTGGCGAAGTTATTGATTGTTGTGCTTTTTTTCGTTTGATTTGTCTTCGTTAATTTTTTCGGTGCTAGAAAGCTATCCTTTAAAGAGATATTATTTAATATTGTTATTTTTGAAGGTACGTTTTAAGTTATAGAAGGATAATTATTTGTTATATTAGACAGGTTTTGAGCATTTGCGACTGGTTTGGAAACCGTGGTTTGAGGACGTAGAGAAACGTGCGTGTGCGTGTGTGTGTGTCTTTATATATATTGTGGGGAAATTCAGCAGAGAGAGAGATATTAACATTGACTAATTCGATTCAAATATATATTTATAACTATAATTATAGTTGTAATTGGATTTAAATAAGAAACACAAATTAAAAGATGTCTACCGATAATAATACTAGAAACGATGAGATATACCCGTTGGCTTTGTTGATGGATGAGTTGAAACATGATGACATTGCCAATCGTGTGGAAGCCATGCAAAAGTTGGATACAATTGCTATTGCCTTGGGTCCAGAAAGAACTAGAAGTGAATTGATTCCGTTTTTGACAGAGGTAGCACAAGATGATGAAGATGAAGTGTTTTCTGTCTTGACTGAACAATTGGGTAAATTTACACCGTATGTGGGTGGTTCCGAACATGCTACTTTATTGTTGCCAATTTTAGAAATATTGGCTTCAACCGAAGAAACTTTGGTAAGAGATAAAGCTGTAGATTCTTTGAATAACGTCGCTCAAGAATTGTCTCAGGATCAATTGTTTGAGAAATTCATTCCTTTGGTAGAAAATTTGGCTACTGCAGATTGGTTCTCTTCAAAAGTTTCCGCTTGTGGTTTGTTCAAGTCTGTTGTAGCAAGGGTTAAAGACGATACTCTAAGAAAAAATTTATTAGCATTGTATTTACAATTGATTCAGGATGATACTCCGATGGTCAGAAGATCCGCAGCCAAACATTTACCAGAAATTATCGATTTATTTACACAAAATTTAGAATTATCAACTAATGAAGATTGGGACTATATTTCAAACATGTTTCAAAGGGTATTGGACGACAATCAAGATTCCGTTAAATTCTTGGGCGTTAATTGTTTGATATCTATTTTGAAATTTTTCAATGCTAAGAGCGATCATTCAAATTCACGAAATCTACTAGATTCCGCCAAAAAATTAATAACAGATGAATCTTGGAGAGTTCGTTACATGGCCGCTGACCATTTCACAGATTTAGCTTCTCAATTCGAGCATGATGAATCTTTGTTAAATGAGCTGGTTGATCCATTTTTAAGTCTATGTGAAGATACAGAAGGTGACGTAAGAAAGGCAATTGCCAAACAATTACCTTCTTTTGCAAAGTTATTGCAAAATCCAACTGTGGTTTTAGAAAAAATTTTCCCAGCTGTAAGGAATTTAAGTTTGGATGAAAACGAAGCAACTAGAGCTTCTTTGGCTTTAACTGTAACTAACCTTGCAGAAATTTTGAACAAAGAACAAGTAGTTGACAAGTTGGTACCAATCTTACTGGATATGTTAAAAGATGAATTCCCAGATGTTCGTTTAAACATTATTGCAAACTTAAAAGTAGTAAACAACGTTATTGGTGTCGATATGTTATCTGAATCATTATTGCCAGCTATCACAGAATTGGCTAATGATATGAACTGGAGAGTAAGAATGGCAATTATCAATTATATTCCTATCTTAGCAGAACAATTGGGTAAAGAATTCTTTGACAAGCAATTACGTGACTTATGTCTATCTTGGTTGTGGGATACAGTTTACTCTATAAGAAGTGCTGCTGTACATAACCTGAAAAGATTAACTGAAATATTCGGTGATGAATGGAGTCGTGAAGAAATTATTTCAAAATTACTGAAGTTCGATTCACAACTACTAGAAAACTTTGTTTACAGATTTACTTTACTCTCTGCATTGATGGCGTTAGTCCCAGTAGTCTCTCGAGAAATTACCACAGAACAAATTTTGCCATTTATTAATCATTTGTCAAGTGATGGTGTTCCAAATATCAGATTTAATGTTGCCAAGGCATACATATCTATTGTAGAATCATTAAGTACTGATTTACCAAAATACAAAGAGTTAATTAATGACACCATTATCACTTCCCTGAAAACCTTGGTACAAGATGATGATGTTGACGTCAAATATTTTGCTAACCAAAGTTTGGAGAAATGTAATGCAATCTTAAGTTAAGGGGGAAACCACGTTAGTTATGAACGTTACTGTATTCATTTAAATAGGTAATTAAAAATATAAAATCGAAGATTTTAAATGCCATGATAATTATACAAAGTCTATATAGATGTGTGTTCCACAATTTATGTAAAACTATTCATTTTATTTTCAACAGATAAAAATTCTTTAAAATTCACTCTTGATTCTGGTTTCTTCTATTATCTGTTCGAATTCAATTTTTAACTTGCCATTCTCTTCTTTAATGTATTGTAATAATTCTGAGTAATCACCTCTAGTTGTTTTTGCCCTCCCATCACCACCTTCTAATTCCATGTTTATGCCCTTATTGACGAGTTTTTTATCTCTTGCATTACAGACATCATTGGCTAAACATATGTCACATCTTTTTCCTCTGGACATACATATCACTTGTCCAAATCCAACTAAAACAGAATTGATCTCATACCACAGTTGACGAGGTAACCATGACTCTAATTCTTTTCTTGTATGCTCAGGAGTCTTGCATTTCTTTTCATCAACCCATTTCCACATTTTTGCTAATCTATGTACATGAACATCTACACATATGCCATCTATTTTGCCCCACGCTTTTTGTAATGTTAAATATCCCATTTTTGGACCTACACCTGGTAAGGCAAGAAGTCCTTCAATATTAGTTGGTATATCAGAATTATGCTTTTCTTTTAATATTAATGCCGTTTCTTTTAGATATTTTGCCTTTCTTGAATGAAATCCAACAGAATGTATCAATTCATCAAGAATTTCTTGATCTATCTCTAGCAATGCATCAATAGTAATACCTTCCGGTATTTCTAATTCATTTATACAATATTCAGTGATATTGTGCATTGCAGCAGCATTGATTTCATCCTTTGTCTGTGATGATAGCATGACACCTATTAGTACTTGTAATCTATAATTAATTGGTAAAATATCCTCTTTCTCGATACCAGATTCCTTCCCTACAGTTATAGGTAGCATAGCACAACCCACTGTATCTACAGGAGTTCTAATTTTAGACCTCATCAGACGTACCTTTGAATATATTGGAATAAAATTATCTGGTATTACTTCTTTTGAATTGTCTGTGAATATATTTAAATCTAAAGTTCTTGACCAATCTTTAATATTATCGCTAGTTCTCTTGGAGATCCATTCAAAATACGGTTTATTATCTAATAATTTAACCCAATCGGTATCAACATCATCCTCAGGTATAGGTGAGAATTCTTCTTTTATCACTGGCTCAAGTTTAACACTTGTATCTTCTTCAGTCTTGAAATATTTCGATTTGATATCAGCCTCTTGTTTTATATCATCAACCGATACTTCTAAGTGATCTCTTATCCTCTTGGACCTTCTGACACCTTGCATCTTCAAAATTCCACTATACGTTCGATAAAGATTTCTATCTCTGATTAATGTAACTTTCCTTAAGAATCTCCCAAAGTTCATGTACTATTTTATCCTCCAGCTAATAGGTTCTTAATAAACCTGTCGAACCTCAAACTAATAAAGCTGTAAAACTAAAAGAAAAAGCTATAGGATGGTTCTCAAATATCAAATTACCGACTATTCACCCTTTAAGCAACTCTTGTTGGTCAGTCTATTGGTACAGCTTTCCTATTTTTATTATTTAGTAGTCCCTTATTGAGAAGTTTGGGTTCACCTGATATATTTGAAATATTCGGTGCCAGTTCTATTAAAGAGATGTAGATGTCGATGTCAGCAATTTAGTTAGGTGACGTTAAATGAACACTATGGAATTGCATTAATTGATGAATTGGTTAACTAATTGATTGGTTGACTGTATCTAAATATATATTTTAAAAACTATTTTACTATAAAAGATCGTTTGTTTTGGTGTGAAGAGGATTTGATTCAGTTTTTTGAAGAATCCTTTGCTTGTGCCTTTTTAAATGCTATAGAACGTTTAGTGACTCTACCAGTTTTTGATCTTTCCTTCTTTCTCTTCAAGTGGGAAGAAGCAGTTTGTCCCTTTGCTGCTCTTAGACCTTCGATGGTTATTTTTTCACCTGCAGTGGCTCTGTCAGCTTTACCTAAGATTCTTTTAGCTCTACCAATTTTAGTCTTTTGAGATTCGTTTAATTTTTGTTTATTATTGCTTGTTGCTGATGATGATGATGGCTTCTTGATGTTCTTGCATCTCGAAACACGTAATTTCCTTGTAGTTTTAGTATTATCAAATTTTTTATCATTTAGTAGCAATGCTTTATTCACACTTTGTAAGTCTTTAAATTGAATGTAAGCAAAACCTTTCCCTAAATTAGTCTTTGAATCTCTGATTATACGGACGTACTCAATTTCACCACAGGATTCGAAATGGGACCACAAAGTTTCTTCATCTTGTTCGAAGTCCATATTACCAACGAAGATAGATCTTTTATTTTCATGTGCAGCTGGGTTTGAGACTGAATCAACTCTTAAATGATTTTTTTGGAATACAGTACCGTTCAATTTGGTACAGATTGGGTTGACAGATGATTTCTCCTTATAGACAATGTATGCGTTAATAGAGTTTCTTGATTTATGCAATTTTTGTTGTACAAATGCTACTTTTCTTGGTAATGCTTCATCGAAAGAGATGGATCTGAATCTAATAGTTTCGATGGAGAATTTCTTTTCGTCGATCAAAGAGAATAGTTTCTTGAATTGTTTATAAATATTTCTTGATGTTATGACAGTGTTAGGAACATTACCAATGAATACAGTACGTTTAGCCTTTTCTAATTCATCTTCTTTTAAATCTAAAGTGGTTGCTGCTTGAGATTTTTCAGTTTTCTTTTCAACTTTATCCTCAGCATCTGAATCCGAATCTAAATCTGAGACTGAACCTGATTCTGATTTAGTTTCTTTCTTGACATCCTTAGCAGACTTATCCTTGTCATCTTCTAATAACTTGGCGTAATATTTTCCTTCTAAATCGTCTTCCTCGGTTTTCTTTGGTTTCTTTGACTTCTTAGCAACCTTTACTTCCTCGTCAATAAGGGCACCAGAAGCTGAAGCTGAAGGAGCAGTAACATCTTCTTGAACAGGCTCAACAACGGTTGGCAACTCAGTTCTATGTTTTAATTTCAACTGTTGTTCATCAATAGAACGAGAAGAGTTGGCAAACAAAGAATCCACAGAGGAATCAATTTTACCCTTGGTAACTTCACCAAATAAAGAATCAATAGACGAAACCATAATATAACGTACCACTTGACCACAACCTATCTGGCCCTCGAGAAATACTCCTAATCCTAAAAACCTTCTCAAAACCATCCACTATATCTTATACTAATCAGTTAATTTGACTTTTTTTTTTAGAGCTCATCTCATCGCATTGAAAATTTGATGCTTGGAGCCTTTCTGCCTGTCTGTGTAAAGCATCTTGAAAATTTTAATGAAATCGATGTAGTAGTTAAAAAATGATGAACCCAAGACAATTGGCAACTAGTAAGAAGCATTTGAAATGTCATTAATCCGTGCTCGATGAGCAATTGTAGTATCCTATGTTTAATTCGATTACGTCTGCTTAAATTAGAGCATGTCAGCAATCTCAAGAGATTTTAAGTTACGTTAAGTTACGTTAAGTTAAGTTAAGTAAATGTGAATTAAGACTAGTTGAAAAATTCAAGATGTGATTGATATATCCTTGATATACCATGTGTAGGATTATGACGACAGGAATTGTGAAACGTAGATTGTATTAAAGACACAATAGTTTATTGTATTAGAGTTTTTTGGATAAAAAAATTATCTATTACATATAATGAGTAGTTAAACGCACTAGACTTGAAATGGGTTAATAATAGTAATAATGTAAATTATTTTTGTTTTATTCTCTTAAAATAAGACACAATATATAGTATAAAATATAATATAATAATAAAAAATGTTATTATAATTATACCCTTTCTATTTCAATGGGATGAAACGAGAAGTAGTAGCACCTGCTCTACCGTGTCTAACTGGAGTGTAGGTAATAGAGAATTCACCCAAGTAATGACCGACCATTTCTGGTCTAATTTCAACTTGGTTGAAAGACTTACCGTTGTAAACACCAACGACAGAACCGATCATTTCTGGAACAATGATCATGTTTCTTAAATGAGTTCTAACGACAGTTGGCTTTTCGTTTTCAACAGCGTTCAACTTAGCAGCTCTCAATTTCTTCATCAAACCAGCTGGTTTAGTGGATAAACCTCTAGCGTATCTTCTTCTAACTCTAGCTGGAGCTAATTTAACGAATTCTTCAGTTGGCATTTCCAACAATTTTTCAAGGTCAATACCTTTGTAAGAATAAGTCTTGAAAGTTCTCTTCTTTGGAGCAGCAGTAGACATTATGGGCTAGTTGAGTACTTTTGTCGATAGATGGAGTTCTTTTCAACTGATAATAACAAGAATCCCAAATATTAGCAATTAAAATAGACCTGTTACTTAAATACTCACCTAATAGTATTGAAATATCGAATAGGATAGTATATTGCAATGATACTAAACTAACTAGCGAATGTATAATATCATATCATCCATCCATCAATGAATCGATCATTCCAATTTCAATTTCAATTCCAAATCCAAATCCAACCTAGTGGTAACAAATTAGTTTAGTTGGTGAATTTACCATATCTCTGGTATCTCTCTCACTCTTCCTCATCAACAAAGAAAGAGAGACTGGTTAGTTAGTAAATTACAGATTGTAGTGACATTGAATAAAACCTCTATGGGAGGGAGGGGCCATAGCAGAGCAGAATCGATGCCAAAGGCTAACTTCGAGATATTTGAAACATTTAGTTCTTTGTCTGGATGGGATGAAGTGGGATTGGTGGTGGTGAAGTTTGGTTGCTTGATGAGAAGATGGATGGGTTAATTTTTCACCAGAGAGGTACTGCACAAGAGCGGGTGCGAGAGCAAGAACAAGAAGCGACATGATGGGCTAGGCTGGACTCAGCCTGGGGAAAGTCGGTGTAGGTGGAACAAGTTTAGCGTTTCCAGGCCGGAGGTGAGGCAGCCTCCAGGCAGAAAACCAAGGTTTCTCTCTCTCTCTCTCTTTCTTTCTCTCTTTCTTTCTTTCTTTCTTACTGGAACGCGTGCGCGTGCTGTTCAAGTAGTAATCTTACGATAAAATTTGATGGAATTTGATGGAATTTGGCAGAACTTTCAACACTTAACCACCCACACACCTCACTACACAAGCAGCATACATCTGGACACCTCTGCTTTTAATGCAGTCACTCGACATTTCCTGGTTGGGTTTTTTCTTCCGGCATTACTTCTCCCACTCGCACGCACGCAAAAGAGACCGACGCAAAAAACCAAAATCCATCCCGTTGCTTCTGAAAAATTTCGAAAAAGTTTCAGTGGCCTGCTCCTTCGCATAGCATACTAAGAAGTACACACGATTACTAGGTCACCTACTCACCAAACTGACCAAACTGTAAAGTAAAGTATCTATCAATTGAATTGGTCTTTTCGATGCTCTTTTATTCTGCCAACAGCAACTGAAAGTTTAACAATCCAATATCACTATCCTCTTATTCTATCTAATTCTTATTCTTATTCTTATTCTTACTATTGAACTTGTTCTTGCTCTTGCTCTAATCATCGATTTGGTTCATCCTTCTGTTTAGATACTGATTATGTCTCTAATACCATTTCATTATTGAACTTGTAGATTTTTATTCTATCCTATCGAGAGCTAGCTTCATGAATATTACATTTTAATTCAGTTATTCTAGTAATTTGATATGTGTTTTACAGATTTAATTGCGAAGGGGAGTCTTGATTTTTACTTTTAAGTATGATTTAAGATTTGTTAGTGGTTTTTTTTGCAATTTGACTTATTTCAAATAGATCAATACAAGAAATCATCCAATTAATTTAAAAATGAAGTACTTAGCTGCTTATTTGATGTTGAACGCTGCCGGTTCTGCTCCATCTGCCGACAAAGTCTCTGAAGTTTTGAAGTCTGTCGGTATCGAAGTTGAAGATGACAAAGTCTCTGCTTTGATGACTGCTTTGGAAGGTAAGTCTGTTGAAGAATTGATTGCTGAAGGTATTGAAAAGATGGCTTCTGTTCCAGCTGCTGGTCCAGCTTCTGCTGGTGGTGCCGCTGCTTCTGGTGCTGCTTCCGGTGCTGCTGCTGAAGAAGAAGCTGCTGCTGAAGAATCCGAAGAAGATGATGATATGGGTTTCGGTTTATTCGATTAGAGAACTGATTTAGTATAAGTTTTCTTTCCTATAACATTATAAAAAAATAAAATCAGAAAACAAGAATCATTCATATTATGTTTAATTTTAAATATATAATTTTTTATCACTATTAGCAATAATAACAAAACATATCCATATTTTCTGTAATTTAATCCAATCCAATCTAATCTAATCTGATCTAATTTAATTTAATTTGATTTAATTTGATTTAATTTAATCTAAGATAAGATAAGCTAATTTAATTTAATATAAGCTAAGCTAAGCTAATATAACCTTATCAATCTACACCATTATGCACGAGAACAAGCTGTGCTTTTTTTACTGACATCAGAGTACACTGACGAAAAACTGGCGTTTATAAGAAAAGCTCTCTTAATTAATTTAATATTATTCCATTTCTTGCTTCCAGTTAATCGGTATTTTAAAACTACAATACATTAGCTTGTTCCGTCCAATTATGTTAATCGATGTTATCAAGAACCTCCTGCCATCAGTTGGTGCTGTCGCCATCCATCAAACTGCAGTATCTAAGTTATAACTACAATGTAGATGAAATGAAATAAAGTGGGAAGGAAAAAAACGCCAAAATATCTAATTATCATCTAAACAAACAACTAGCCGTGAATATTATTTCCATTACAAGAAGTACTGGTTGCTTTGTCTTGTCTTGTCGCTTTGTCTAAACCTGTTAAATAGATCACCTCCTACTGCAGTTATAAAATTTTCCACATTTTTGCTGCTTGCTTGCTCGTCTTGACTTGTCCTGTCTTGACTTGTCTTGCTCGTCGTATCTTCACTTCTCATCGTAACTGCATAAAAAACACCTTTTGGACTGTAAACTGTACAGCA